ATGAAGTTCCCCCTAACAATGTTATCTCAGGAGATTCATCGAAACCAAGTTTCTCTTCGTATCTATAACTTATACTAATATTGAATGTTGACTCCGCCAAAGATCAACAATGCAGATAAATGTCTCAACTAGGGTTTACGATATCAGTTAGTTTTTTTATTATGTCAACTTTCCAAATACTGAACAGGGTGCTCTTAAATTGCTTCTTACTTATTTTCCACATGATAGAGCAATGATTAAGGATGTTAGGCTTTTCTCGCTCTTATGTTCTTATGAAATTGAATTCCACTTAGCCTTTCATCCCTAAACGGTTAAAACTAGAAATATGCACTATACTTTGACATTCGATATGTTAGAGCGAAAGTGCTTATTCTTAAAAATATAATTTTTTTCAAAATCACATTTGGCGGCTTTGTTCTAATCTCGGATTAAGTACGATGCCGAGTGCAACTGTCCTATCAGGAGCTCTTTTCATTAAATCCCTCATAAGTTAGGATTGATTCCCTTTGATAATAGTGGTGGATCCTGCACCAATTTGGATTCGGAATAATGTACCCCTGAAATATATGCTACAATGAAACTTTGCGGTAGGCTCATCTTTTTCCTTTTGTTCGATTTTAGCCGATCATCTATTAGTGCCTAAAGTGCTCCTCCATCATAAACGATGCCTCTATTTAAGAGAGGAGTGATTACTTATAAATATTAAGCCTGTTGCTGAAAAATACCCATTTATGGGTTAAAAAATGATTAATAAATGAGTTGTTAAAATTGGTATATACCTTTTGGATAGTAATTAACAGAACGAGTTAGTATACAAGTTGGCAAAAGGCTTACTTAGTAGAATATCATCATACATGTGATTATGGATAATTTTAAGCATAGCTTTTCTCAATAACCTTTGTCTAACATGAGCAGACTGAAATCTTCGCTTTTATTTTAGGCAAAAGGATCAACACTTTAACGTAAAATCAGGACTCTCTTGTACTTGTGGACTTTTGGTCTAACTTGTATATTGTATATAAAAAAATGAAAGAGTGCCCATTTTTAAATGTGCATTATTTAACTGCTATTATTGAAATGATACTAGCAGGTTAGAATGCATTGCATCATTCTTAATGTTACAAGGCCTGAACGCGAGGACTTATAAGTGAAAGTGGAGATACTTCTTCCTGAATTTCATTGTTTGTTTTATTGATATTCATATAAATATAAAAACTATCTATCTATCATAACTAACGTTTATGTTTCCCCCCTTTCTCATGAGTTCAGGATACCAACTCGACTTGTTTTATAAGCCCGAAGAAATGAGCCTTATTGCTTTGCTTCGCAAACAGCTTCTCCGCTCAAGCTTTCGTTCGGCAATGCCTCAGAGAAATTCTTCGGATTTTCACAGAGAGTTGAAAGGGCAGGCCATGAGACAAAGATATCCAAACTTTTCAATGGAACTAGAGGATCGGAACCCTGTAATGGACAACATTGAATCTGATGCCGTAGTGAATTCATCTGCCAATTCTGAGGACCCAGTCAGTCTCAGTCCAGTTAGCTTAGTCAGTCGTCTCTTATTGGAAGCTCAGAAATTGTTGTATCCTCTTCAACGTAGGGCTTCTTCAGAGCCAGGAAACCAGCAGATGGACTTCACTAGGCCCTACAATTTTAGAGTTAGTTCCTACGATGCTGATGAGAGCCCGAAAAGTCGAGGTGTGCGCAGAGAACGAGGTGGCCCAGACCAGCGTGAAGTGATTGTGGGAGGCTGTCGAATATGGTTGATAGGAGATTTCCAACATATAATTGGGCAAGAACAAAAAAAGG